ATCGCGGGCACTTGGAGAATGAATCCGTGCACAGGAGCAGTCTCACACACATTCTGCCTCTTTCTGCTTCTCAATTAATTTTTCTAAAGTCATATATAATGTGTATTACTGAAAAAAAAAAAACTACATGAATCATTTTTTTTCCGCCCAAACAACTTTGACTCCTGTTTCCTGCTTTCTGAAGTTTCTTATATTATTCTACCCAAGCAGGAAGTATAGCAATGCCAACAGGAAAGAAACTTGAAACACAGCCTTCGATCCAGACCTGTGGATTCTCTCCTCACAAATATCCGAGGTTTGGGAGACAGGCCCTCTCTGCCCTCTCTCATTCTCACTACTGTCTTTCAAGTCAGTGTAATATGACACTGCCTATGTCAGTGTGTCAGCAGAAGGTGGCAACCTTAGGGTCAGTCACCACAGTCCTGTGCACTGGCTGTGGAGGTGATGAGATGGCAAGGTGGTGAGTGTCCAGGCAGGGCCAAGCATGAGGCTGTCCCGGAAAGACTCGGCAGGGAATAGCTGGGTTTCTACTACTGCTACCTTCCAGGAACTCTGCAGGGGATCAATGGTCCCCATCCTGTGTTCAACCTCACACCATCTTTCCTATAAGCTGTATTGTTGCCCCGGATTCATGCATGCACAAAATTAGGCCAAGAGGAGCGGTAGCTGTACAAGGTGAAAGCACCACCGAGAAGGGCTGAGCTGGAGCCGTTTCTACAACAGCTCCGAAGAGGGTAACTTACCAGCTCCCCGCCAGGATGAAGTCACGTGAGACCTGCAGTTTATGCTGCTGTTATTTTGTTTGTTAAGCATTTCTGTATGTCAGTTTACCAGGAGGAATCAAAGAAAGAGATGACAGCATGAATGTCCCCCTAGGAATAACTGTGAAGTCAGCATGGAGGCCAGAGAGAACAGGTCAGGCTCCCAAGGGCAGTGAGAAGCCAGAGGAGGGAGCCCTGAGGACACAGTCGGAGGCCAAGGATGCAGCCCTGCTCTCCTTGTTCAGGTTTTAGGAGACAATGGGCTGTCTAGCCAGGCAGGGGCGTGCCTCCGGGAGCTGCTTAGGAGTGTCAGGACAGGCTATTCCGCAAGCTGCTCTCCCCTTGCCCTTTGTGCGAGATTTCAGTAAGCCTAGCTGGACTTCTGGCTCCACAGCTACCCAGTTTCAGATCCTATTTCTTTCCTAGCAAGTCTTTGGGAGTTGTAAGGTGGTATATTCACACACACAGTTCTGGGAAACCAAAGACAAGCTCGCCACCAGAAGCCTCTGCTTGTCCAAGGTTGCTTTTTCCTTGCTCCAGGCTCTGGCTCTTTATCTCCCTTGCTCCAGTCCCAATCTTTAGAAGCACACTAAATACAAATGGCTGTCATCAACACAGGCTTTACTCCTCCTCCAGAGCTGGTTCTACAAGTTGTATCCTGAGCATTTCCTAGCGCCCAGAGGCGGATGGACTGGGGAAACCTCTGTGGTTAAAGGTCCTCGCCTTGCACGCCCGGTTCTAATCCCGGCAGCCCCGCTTCCCTTCCAGCTCCCTGCCTGTGGCCTGGGAAAGCAGTCAAGGACAGCCCAAAGCTTTGGGACCCTGCACCCGCGTGGGAGACCCGGAAGAGGCTCCTGGCTTCGGATCGGCATAGTATCGGCCCGTTGCGCTCACTTGGGGAGTGAATCATGGGACGGAAGATCTTCCTCTCTGTCTCTCCTCTCTGTATATCCGCCTTTCCAATGAAAAAATAATAAAAAAAAAAAAAAAAGAAAGACAGGCGGAAGCAAACTTTCTAAAACTGTACTGCTTCCACCAGAAATAGTGCCTCTACCCAAGCGGACCCTTTGGCCCAGTACAGAATCATAAGTTTCTCTGCTCGAGCACCTTTTACCTAATTATATAGTAAGTTTCTCTATGCAAAGTACAGCCCCCACAACCCCCACCGTAGAAAGATTCCCACAAGTCACATCAAGTGGTTTTCTGCACCTGCAGGTCGATGAAGAAAATCTCTTCCTTCTCCCAGCAGCAGAGTTAAATGAGGACAGAAACACTCTAGTACAACTCCCTTCTGGCTCTTTCACTGGATAGCCAGGCTGCATTTTAGAGCCGGTTCTCAGGAGATCAACAGCAATTTTCATAGCAGAACAAGTGTTTTCTCTCCTAGGTCCAACAAAACAAACAGATAAACAAAAATTCAGTTTGCCCATCAGAGCACAAGGTCAATACAGTTTAGCACTCTGACACAGGTTCCCATTGGGATGTAATCATTGCAATCTTGCCCTCTGGGTGATCACGGAAGTTATTCCAAACCCTATGGGATAAACAAGGCCATTAACAATCTGATGCTTTCAAGGATGCCAGGAATGTGAGATATCTCTTGAGAAAGTCCAGAAGCAGTCAATGAGCCATGCACCATAACACCCTTTATCTCCTGCCTCCAGGTGTGGGGTCTTCCTTCCTCTCTGTTGTGTGGTTCCCAAGATGGACTTGTCTGTCCAGAGATCCCCACGACATCATCCTCTGTATACCCAAGTTTGTGGCCTTTTCCTTGGCGGTTTTTTTTTTCCCCCAAAATAATCACAAAGAAATTCTTTTATGTTCAAATATAAGTTTAATAATCTCTTTTATCATGTCCCCCAAACAATTCCTCATGATCACTTTCACATCATTCTGTTTACATTTGTCACATACATTTCATAACAGGCATACAAGTGCTAAACATTTCCCATTGTTGAATTGCCTTTGAATCAATACAAAGTTATTAGGGATCATGTGGGAAAGAAAATAACCTTTTCCTGAAAACACTCTTTTTTTTTTCAAGATTTATTTTATTTTTATTGCAAAGTCAGATATATAGAGAGGAGAAGACAGAAACGAAGATCTTTCGCCTGCTGGTTCACTCCCCAACCGGTTGCAACAGCCAGAGCTGAACTGATCCAAACCCAGGAGCCCAGAGCTTCTTCCGGGTCTCCCACATGGGCGCAGGTCCAAGTCTTTGAGCCATCCTCCATTGCTTTCCCAGGCCACAGGGAGGAAGCTGGATGGGAATCGGGGCTGGCAGGATTAGAACCAGTGCCATATGGGATCTCAGCTCATGCAAGGTGAGGACTTTAGCAGCTAGGCTATTGTGCTGGGGCCAAAACAGACTCTTAACATACCTCTATTACACCTCTGATTCAAGGAGCTCATGTTATTTGAACGCTAGCAGTCCCATCCTTTTGAACTCTCTGGGTAGGGAGGCGATGGCAACAGCCATAGAAAAAACTTGGGTTTCAGCTCTGCTGTCTATTTTGTGAACTCTAACTTTGTTTAACAGATTCCATATCAAAGGGTATGATAGTCTCTTCCATTTTTATAACAACTCTCTGTGGATGGATGTCAACAAAAGGGCAGAACAGATGGTAAATTTCTACCAGCAGACCATGCTGGCAATGCAATTGTTTCCTGCAGTTTTGTATGTCAGCTAAGGAGACCCATAAGTTACAGAACCATCTTCTGCTTCTCTATTAAAAATCATAATCCACTACTACCCACCCCGCATTTCCACAGCTGCAACCACGAGGGTTGCCAGTGGTCACTCTCTTTGGCTGGACAGGTATGGCCACTGAGATCTGGATGATGACCACTACAGTCTCAGACCCTAGCAGATACACAACATTACTTTGCATTGGCTTAGGTGTCTCAACTTTTCTCCAGGGTTTGAAAACCAATGCTCATAGGTGTGAGAGATAAAACTAACCCGATGACCTCCTCCAGTCTCCAAGCTTCCTCAACAGGTGCATACCGAGAGGAAACGCGCCTTCAGGGTAACTGGTTCTCCTACACTTACAATAGGAGGGTTTGGTTTGTACTTTAAAGGCACCGGGAAACAGCAGGCATGTTTCCCAGCTCAAGGAGGCTAAATTACAGGTGCAGTTACATTACGAACAAAAGAGCTGGACCTGTTTTTTGCCATTCTTATCCAGAACAAGCAAATGCACAAAGTTGAATTTTCTGCTTTCTACAATTCCCAAGCACCTTTACACTTTGTGCGCAGGCTAGCCCCGTGTTCTATTCGTTCTTTATTCCTCTTCCAGAGAGAGATCCAGAACAAGAATGCCACACTGCCCAGCTCGGGTTTTCAGAGCCTTTCTTCCCACGTACCTTTTGCCTCTGCCAGCGAGGACAGATAAACCATGTGGGCACACAGGTATGCACAAACTTAAAAACATTCAGTAGGAAAAAACACACACAAACACAAGTGGTTCTCTTGTGTCTTTCATTCAGAAAAATGAAGACACAGAATATTTTCCAGAAAATTACTGTTGCTCCACTCAGTCCTGCCCGTTGCTCCAGGCTTCCCCTAGCCAACCTCCAGCAGAAAGCACTTGGGCACGTGCCCAGGGAAGCCGGCCCCAGCACACTGCGGGCAGGGGCGCAAAAGCTGCGAGGACACTGTCACTTTGAAAGAATTTTTGAGGGGAGGGGAATCTTTCAGTATGTTGTTTTTGTTCTTGTTTTTATTTTGGAGTGAGAAAAAAGTAAAAGCAAAAAAGAGGGGAAAATATCAAGACATATGATGACATATAAATATGGGGATGGGACAGAGACACAGCCCTCAACAGAAATCATAAGCAATAGAGGACACTGCTCTTGCACTGAGCATGGGGAATGGGACCAGTGAGGACAAAACCGCAGAAGCACTTAGAACAAAAGGCGGAGACCGACGGCGAGAGGGCGTGTACCTGCACTGTGGGTTGACCAGGGCTTTGGGGAACCGGCGAGCGGTCCTAACACCTTTACTTCTGAGGAGAGCAAGGGGGCAGACGATGTCAGCCATCTCCGTGAGTGTACCGGTGCTTGGCAGTGTCACAAGAGAAGATGGAGGGGACCGCAGGCCGCTTCTGCCCCAGGCGCGGGGCTGCGAGGGCTCCCTGCAGGTGCAGGTGAGCGCCGCGCTGGCAGCAGCAGGTGGAGGACAGGAAGGACCGCCCGCAGGGTGACACCAGCGTTGGATGCAGACTCCCAAGGCCCCGCTCAGGCTTCGGCCTGGCCCTGTTCCTGCACCGGCCTTGAGGCCTTCTCGGGTCCAGGCGCGCCCTGCTCCTGCAGCCCCGCGCTGCCGCCGGGCCACAGCTCGGGGCCCGCGCCCGGGTCTGCAAAGCGCGGGCCGTTGCCGGCGAAGGAGTCGCGGCGCGCCAGGGTCTCCTCCTGCACCGGGCGGCCCACGGGCTCTGCGGCCGCGCCCCCCGGCCCCGGCGTGCCCTCCTGCGAGGTCTGACTGACGTAGACCACGATGATGTCGCCTTTGAAGTTCATCACTTGCCCGCTGGAAATGAACGTGGAGTTACTGTTCCCAGTCACATTTCCTACAGGAGAGGGGGAGAGAACACGCAAAGGTTGAGTTGGCGGTTCCTGGTCTTGGGAACTTGGACTTGGGAGAGGACATCCCCAGGGCACCCGCTCCCCTGTGGGGTGCTGCTTCGGTGGTTAGGGTGCAGCGGAGCCTCCAGCTGAGGTTGAGGGAGGATGAGGATGGCGAAGAATGAGACTCAAGATAGCGAGCCCACCGGAAATGTCGAATCTCGAACAGGACTCTGAAGTGACAAAGCCTGGACCCGACATCTGAGTCTCCCAGGGAAACTCCATGAGGCCCTCAACAGCACTTAAAAACAAACAAAGCAAAACAACAAGTAACCATATTTTTAAACCCTTGGAAAAATAGGAAAAAAAGAATCAGATAACTCAAATGGAAAGATGAATGCTCTGAAGAACATCTGGACCTCGAAGGTGGCCCTTCGTCCCTTGGGGGCTGGGTCACTTCCTTGGCGGTGATTGGAAGCAGCTGGCCTTTAATAACGAATGCTTAGAAAACCAAATAGAACGTTCCAGAAACATCCGCAGATCCGCTACCTCTGGTTATTCTTTCCACTTAGAGATAGACGAGAAAGGGCTGGGCCACACACCAAGTGGTTTCAGCCACTCCCTGCCATGTGGCCTCACATTCTTTGGCTGGGGCCGCAAATATCAAACTGCTCTGCTTCCTCACTTCTTTGCACTGTGACCCAGCGCCACAACGATTTACACATATAAAATGCTGTTTGTGTCACCTCTGCACAACAAGAGATCTTCACCACACTTGGGAAGGCATGTTTGGACGGCTGACTAAGCAGGCACAAACGACAGATGCAAAGGCTGGGGCACATGGAGAAGCCATGGAAACATGATTTGTAGTTGTGGGCAACGAATCAAAACTCATGCAGGGACGTCCGTCTTATGCCATTTCTCCCACGTCAGTTAGACTGGGGACACAGTGGTGAGGATTTATTTACCTAATAATCCCTGACCGTGAGGAAGGCCAGCTGGCATGTCCTTGTATAACAGGCCTGAGGTCCTCTGATCCCTCTGCAACAGACCGTAAGTGCTCACAATGCACAGCGAACTCTAAGCGGCTTACACACTCTACTCTAGCAAGTTTATGCTTTTATGCTCCCACTAGTTACCAAGTTATTTCTTATGTTTTTACCAAACTCTGAAGCAACTACTATGCAAAACAGTCAAATGTATGCATAAAAGGGGGGATGTTTCTATGAAAACTAAAGTGGATGCTTAGCAAGGACCCAAATAAAAATAAGTTTCTTAAAAAAAATCATACAAAGAGAAAAAAATAAAACACCAACTGCCACCTGCTGGCCTGTGTGATTCTGTGAACGGAATCACAGTTAAAACAAACACACTATCAAAACAAGGGATAAAACAATGAGAAAAATGAGCAGTTGAGAAGGACTGTGCTTCCCAAATTTGGTGAATATCTGTAACTTCTCATTCCACATTAAAGCTATGGAAACTGGAAATTAAGATGGAGTGGTGAATGTAGAAAGGCCTCATGGGAAACTATAATCAGACAACATAGTAGCTTTATACTAAAAAGAATCCGTGTATAGCTGCAGGTTATACAACTTTTAAAGTTCTAAAAATATTTCAGATAGGTTAAACAAAAAATATTTCAGATAGGAACTTGCCAATGATCCATTCAAATAATGGACCAGAAGCTTCTACCGCGGGAGTAGATTAAGCGAACACAACAACACAGGAAGTCTCTATTCCAAGGACAGCCGGTTGGCTAATGTCACGGAGTCCAAGTAACAAATCAATATTTACATACTGCAAACATTCTAGCTAAAACATGCTATGCTTATTTAATAAACCCATAATTTTAACTTGTTCAGAAGTATGATTTTTGTTAGATTAGTTCCCCTGCTTTTCTTTTTTTTTTTTTTACTATTACATCATTAGCTGCTAGCTCTTAATATAAAATGAACCCAGCAAAGGGAATCTGGAGCCACCTGCTTGATGCACTTGTGGCTTTTGATTGAATCACATCTCTTTTATTCTCCTCACTTTTAGATTAATCTGTCTGTATCATGATATACAGGCATCCTCTTACACACCAAGATTTTGAGTAAAACTCTTTTATCTTGACAGTTTTATCACATATTACTGCCTCATGGCAACCATATTTTTGATACTAATAGTCTCAAAATTCCACAGGACCTATATTCATTCCAATTTTTATCTTTTTTTTAGAAAATGGAGCTCAAATTATTTTTGCATAAGTGATGTATTGAAGCACTCCAGGATCCTCTGAGTCATAGATTGGATGAAGAACATTCTTGGAGGGCCATTGCAAGTGATGAAGGGTAAAAGCAAGGGCTTTGAACTCCTGACATTTCGAATGTAAAGAAAAGTTACCTCGAAGGAGTATGAGATCCTCAAACAAGGCTATTCATGGGTTTTTCAAAGCTGTAGTTAATGACCCAACAGCCTTTGATCAAGTTCGTGCAAGCTGACTTTGAGTGACAGAAAACTGGTACCAATGACTTTTTTTTTTGAGTTCTGCTGATCTATGACAATGAGTGGTAGTTCCTCAGTGGCAAGGGGTGGCAGTGTTTAGGGCTCAGCCAGGTTAGGCTAAATGTTCTGCCAGCATTGTCCATTGTCTTGAAATGCCCAGTAGCTTTTTTTTTTTTTTAAGATTTATTTTTATTGGAAAGGCAGATTTACAGAGAGAAGGAGACAGAGAAAGATCTTTCATCTGCTGCTCATTCCCCAAGTGGCCGCAATGGCCAGAGCTGCACCTATCCAAAGCCAGGAGCCAGAAGCTTCTTTTGGGTTTCATAAACAGGTACAGGATCCCAAGGCCTTGGCCGTCCTCTACTGCTCTCCCAGGCCACAAGCAGAGAGCTGGATGGGAAGTGGAGCGGCTGGGCCATAAGCTAACATTCATTTAGCTTGTGCGCACTGAGGATTTAACCATCACATTGGGCCCTCCTAGTAGTTCTTTTTTTTTTTTTTAAAGATTTATTTTTATTATTTTTTATTGGAAAGGCGGATATACAGAGAGGAGAGACAGAGAGGAAGATCTTCCGTCCGATGATTCACTCCCCAAGTGAGCCGCAACGGGCCGATACTATGCCGATCCGAAGCCAGGAGCCTCTTCCAGGTCTCCCACACGGGTGCAGGGTCCCAAAGCTTTGGGCCGTCCTCGACTGCTTTCCTGGGCCACAGGCAGGGAGCTGGAAGGGAAGCGGGGCTGCCGGGATTAGAACCTGCGCCCATATGGGATCCCGGGCGTGCAAGGCGAGGACTTAACCACTTGCGCCACCGCGCCGGGCCCTCCTAGTAGTTCTTGTACCGCAAGGACCACACGGCTCCCCTTCTCACTGGTTATGATATTATGTGCTAATCCTGAGGGCTACAGGAAACCCTTAGGAACATAGCTCTGGGGTTTTTCTCTCATGAATGCTGTCTGTCAATCATATTTTTACTACTAATAAACTCAATATTCAATGTTGAATTCAATATTCAGGACAACACTGAGGTGTGGAGGCTAGGCACTAGCACTCTTTTTTTTTTTGTATGATTCAGTTATTTTTATTTGAAAGGGAGAACTATAGAGAATGAGAGATCTTCCATGTATTGGTTCACTCCCCACATAGCCTCAACAGCCACAGCAGAGTCAGTCCAAAGCTGGGAACCAGGAACTTCTTCTAGGTCACCCATGTGGCGAGACTCGGCCCATCCTCTGATCCTTTCTCAGGTCATTAGCAGGGAGCTGGACTGGAAGTGGAGCAGCCAGGAATTGAACCAGCACTCAAACAGGACTGGTACTGCAGGTAGATTAACCTGCTATGCCATGGTGCTGGTCCCCTGCTACCCATAACACATAGATCCTAGGGTATATCTGACATATTTTCAGCTTTCTGGGAGAACTGCCGACTGTCCCTCTGGGTCTACCAACTTCATCAACTCCACCTTCAATGTTGTGACTACAGTTTTCTAGTTTCGGTTTAACTATGGCTGACTTGCCAAGCACGCCTTAAGTGCAGAATGCTTTTAGAGTTTCATTCCCCTCATCTCTCAGAGTTGCATCCTCCTCCTCAACTTTAATAGCAAAAGATTATTTTACCATTTCATTTTTTGAGATATTACAAAACACAATGATTTTTTTTCTTCTTCTTTTTAAAGAGATTTCTTTTTTTATGGGAAAGTCAGATATACAGCAAGGACTTTAGCTGCTAGGCTACCATGCCAGGGCCACACACAGTGGTTTTCAAAAAAGAATTCATCCTTATCAAGATATATTTTTTTTTTACTTTTGCCCCCAGCATAATGTTTGAAGCTTCACATTCAACAAGATTAGCTCACACGCACAGGATTGGACCCACTCAGCCCAGCCACACACTGGGTGGGAACAGAGGGCCTGCGTGTTCTAGAATGATCTCCTTGTTGTTAGCAATCCCTATGCTTGAGCTTTAGTTGGCTTCCTTCCCAGAGGGAAAAATGAGTTTGAGTTAAGTACAGTTAGATGAAGACAGCATCCACTACAATAGGAGTGATCAAAACACACTTCAGGGGCTGGCATGGTGGTGTAGCATGCTGAGCGTCTGCCTGCAGCACTGGCATCCCATATGGATGATGGCTCTAGTCCTGGCTGCTCCTGCCCTAATCCAGTTTCCTGCTTATGACCTGGGAAAGCAGAGGAAGATGGCTCAAATCCCTTGGCCCCTGCATCTGTGTGGGAGACCTGAAAGAAGCTCTGGCTCCTGGTCTCAGATTGGCTCAGCTCCAACTATTGTGGTCATTTGGAGAGTGAACCAGTAGATGGAAGATCTTTTTCCTGATCTCTCCTTCTTTGTAAATCTACCTTTTTAATTAAAAAAAAAAAATCTTTAAAAAAGAAAAAAAAGTAGAAAAGAAAAACATACTCCAGGGGCTAGTGTTGTGGTTATAGGGGTAAACCTGTAATGCCAGCATCCCATTTGGGCCCTAGTTTAAGTCTCAGCTGCTCCACTTCTGATCCAGCTCC